TGCCTGGATTTTCATAGCAGCTGCGTGGCTGATGCTGTAATAGCTCCTTCAGTCTCTGCCTCAGTTCTTCCCTGACTAAAAAGGGGATGGTTTAACAGTGGTATCTGATCTAAAGACTTAAATGTGTAATTGATCTTAGGATAAAAGTGTATTGAAACACAAATGGAGAATGTGTGGGGTTGGGGGCAGGGTCTTTATTTTTTTGTTTGTTTTCTTTGAACTGCTTTGTGGGTTACCTGTAACCCTTCCTTACTGGATGACAAACTCAAGGTACTTAAAATAGGCTTTTGCTGATACCTCCCTGAAAAGAATGAAGGTTTCTGGGTTTTTTTGTTTTACTGCTGCTCCTCACAAAGCTGAAGTGGGTGTTTAAAACACGTGTTATAGAAAGTGATTGATTTTTGGCAACCTCATCATTTCAAAAACTTGTGCAAAATTCCTTCATCTGTTTGACTCATGAAATGTTAAAATCACATAGGCATGTCCACTTCTCTTAGCAGCTTTACTTATGCATGAGGTGGTTTTGTGAGGTTCGCACAGCCTAATCTTCTGGACACACAGGAGATGAAATGGCTTTAATAATTTTGAAGAAAATACATAAAGTTGTTCTCTAGTAAATATAGTAAGCTGTGTTGCTTGTATTAGAAGTGATTTTACAGGAATACAGAACTTCCATAATCTTTCCTAGCAATTTTCTGATCAATATTTCCAGTAACTTTCTATATGTTGTTCTTGTATGCCTTTGGTGTAATATAGGAAAATAAAAATTTTTGACAAAAGTGGAACTAATTTCAACTTGTTCCTGTAAGCTAGCTGTTGAGGTGACAGAGCACTCAGCATAGAGTTAATTACTGCTTTAGATCTGTGAAATAGTGAATTTATGACTAAAATTGATCTTTATAATAAAGAGACTGGAAGTAATGAGAGAAATTCTGGTTAGAGAGTTGTTCAGCTTTTGTTGTTGCAGTTGCATGCTTCCTCCTTTTCAGAAACTTTGTTGTTGTTTTTCTCTGCCCTATAGTTTTGTGCTACGTTGTATTAATTTTGCTTCCCTTTCAGTTCCTTTTAATTTTACATATCTGTTCCTCAAGCAGACTTACTCCAGTTCTGTTTATTTTTCATAGCAAAACGGAAAAACTGTGGGGACCCAGTTGTGCTGCTGAAAGGGGAATCCATTATTACCTCAGCAGAACTGTTTTCTTTATAAAAAATTTAAGATTAGGGACTCATGCGAAACTGAGTAATTTGCACCCATCAGTGTAAAATCTGAGTGTTTTCCTGTTGTGTGTTGAATTATAAAAATGATACTTGTCTCACATAATTTCTGTTTGCACTTACTCCCGGAGGAAAAAAATGCTGTATGGAGTGTTTTGGTACTTGCTGGGGCAGAGGGTAGATTAGAGGTGACTGTGGCACGCTCAACCTTGTGTTTTGATGGTGTACTTGCTCAAAAAGTATGTGCGCTACTACTGAAAGAGTCTGTTTCACTTCCTCTGTGTGGACACAGAAGTTCAGATCTGCTCAGCAAAGGATCTGGGAAGAGGGACAACAGTTAGTTGACAACAGCGGCAGTCACTTCCCTGGTCCAAATCACTGGTTGCCTGCATGAACTCCTGTGCTACTGGAAAAGCAGGTGGCAAGTAAGCCCTCCAGGTGGGTTGTGCGTCAGGATCATTTCCTTCAGTGGAAATGATCTCCTACAAGACCATAAATTCATTACGGCGTAGCAGCGTGGGAATGTTTTTTTTCCTTTGCACTGCCCAGCTTTAGAAACTAAGTCAAGGTTGTCAAAAGCAGTGTAAATTATATTGAAGACAAAGGTGGTAAAATTAATTTGTCTTTGGCTGCTTCTTGTATCCCATCTTGAAGAGTTTCAGAGAAGAATAAAGTTCTGAAAAAGATTTTTCATCTTAAACAGCACACTGCTGAATCAATTTATAAACTTCCTTGCAGTCTTCTACCTCAAATTTTAATTTAGATAAGTAAATGTAATTTCTTCTTGACTGTAAGGAAGGTGTGGAAGTTAGAGGAGATTCATCTCGATCTGTTCCTCCTGTAGATGGTTTGTCTGTTTGCTGGGCCAAATCTGAAGTTCAGCAGCCAGAAGCTTGGGGAGCAGTTCAGCTTTACTGCGGTACAAACTATTCTATTGATGAATTTAACTTCTCTGCTTATTGTAGTATGCGAATTGCTATGCAGAATTGTGCAAACACCCACAGAAATGTTTCCTAATAGCTGTTTGGATATGTATATGGCTTCCAGTGTACGAAGCAGTTGAGGGGATTAGTTTGCAACCAAGAATTCTTTTCATAGCGTTCCCCTTGTGATTCTCAGATGGGCTGTCATGTACTTCGTTGTAAGCAGTGCAAGTCTGATTTTGTTTTGAATATGTCAGTCTTTCTGTCAGTGGTTGGCTTTAGCAGATGGGGACACAGATTGTAAACAAAGTGTGAGAGAGCATTCTTTTATGTATAATATGTCAAAGAGTTATTTACACTTGCAGACTGCCTTCTGCACAGGGCAAACTAACTTCAGTTTGACTTGCATAGAACAACTAAACTAGAGCATTTCAAAAGTGCTGTCTTGGACACTTTGGCTAGCAAGTCTCAAGCCAGAATAACAAGTAAAGAGGAGCATTACTGGTGTATTTTTACTCCAGCTCTGAGGTGATTACTGTTAGGCATGGACAAAAGGTCTCAGTCTTTCTCAATGTTTACTTTACAAGGAATCCTGGTTTTAATAGTAGAATGTATGTGGTTAGAAAAAGGCTTATGTCTTCTAACCTTTGTCTTTTATTTTTCTGAAGGCTGTTGTGATTATTCTTGGAGAAGAACAGAAAGAATATTTTCATCAGGCAGTATTCACAAAACTGCAAGAATTACCCGTTGTCTGGACAATCCTTATATTTTTAAGCTTGCTCAAAGCCACTTGGGATAGGATAGTTAGGGGAAGAAGGAGGCAAGACTGCCAACTGGGTATTTATGAATCAGCCCTAAATTCCTTGTATCATGATGGAGAGACTTTCCATACACAATTCAGAGGACCTTATATTATCTATGTTGAAGTTAAACTGTAAGGTAAGCCCTGCTTTTCTTGTTTGTGACAAGAAAGTAAGTTTTGTATCTAGAGAAAAATTGTTATGCTGTGTGGCCTTCCTCCCTTGAACAGGGAATTCTGAAATCGAAGCATAGATGGTAAAAGTAGCAACAGTGCCAGGAAAGTTGAACAAACAAATGACTAGGAGCTGGAAGAAATCATTAATGTCCAGGAAATAAGTGGCTGATAGAGATAAGAGGCTGATAAAAGTTCAGTTGCTAAGCACAAATGAAGGTTTTATGTTATTGGTTGATGTCATGGGAAATCTAATTATTTGGCACCTGGATGAGGTAACAGGTAAGAAATAAATGTATGCTGTATGTTTTCAAAAAGGGTTACTCTTAGGCAAAGAGCCTAAGAGCCTTACTTTTTTGGACAGAATGTGATGACTTTCTGAACAAGTACATGAGTATAGACTGTGAGCAGACTTTCCTTTCAGTTTGACACAAAGACCGTGAGCCTCATTCCTAGTGGCTTGCAGGATACTTTGATCCTTAAACCCAGTTTAAGGATATGATTTGTCTGTGAAGCTTTTTTTTTTTAAAGTAATTACAAGGGAGTTAACTGGGTATTTTAAGAGATCTTTCTGCTTAAGCTTTACTGTTTAAATACTAGAAGCAAGTCTGTTCATAATGACTGTAATGCATCATATATTTGGGGTTTATATATTATAGTATCCTTGGTATTTAATTGTGCTGATGTCTTCTGTTATATTGTGCTGGGCTTTCTGAAGGAAAAGATAAAACGCAAATCTCAGCAACGTATTAATTTCCAAATATATGGCATACTGTGGAGGAAGCCTGTCTGGTGGTTAAAGCTTGGCCCATTAGTTAAAACACAAGTTAAACCAAATTAGACCTTCTGGATTGCTTAATGCCGTGTTCTCTAACAAGGGATGTGACTCAAAAGCTTGCCCTAGGACTGTCAGTAGAAGCGTGAGTGCTCAGTAGCTTCGTTCCTGTTGGCTAATTGTTTGCCGGGTGAGTCATTAGGGTAATTTTTATTGTCAGATCTGAGTCCTCATCAAGTTGAATTTGAGTGCTACCAAACTAGTTTATTTTCCTTGTTTGTGGAGTGCAGTTTCTTTCAGGATGCTTTCTTATTTGAAATGTTTCAAGCAGTGTGACTTTCACGTATTACTTTGGAAGAATTCTGAATATTTGAATGTTTTAGATCAGAAAACAGAATGTCTTCTTGAAATGTTATGTTAACAGATACAGCAAGTCTTGTGGGCTGTATTAGTACGAGAGGAAAAATTATTGCTACTGCATACTTAAGCGTTGGGATTATACTTGTAGCCTAAAATCGGTTTCAGTGAATCTCATCGTAAAGTTCTCTTATGGTGTGCATTTGAGTGTGTGTATCTCACTATTACCGCTTTCTAGGTTTGTTCCCTGTCTGCCAATGTTAAATGGCCAAATCTTTTATAAAGGATTGCGTTTGAAAGAAAGCAAAAATATTACCCTCTGTGTTTTCAACAACTGAATGTTGCTTGAGGCTAGCGTTGAAATTTCTTCCTGTTCAAATGAAAGCTTATGTATTTGTAGAAGGCCAATATAATACATCAAATAAATGCCATTTAAACCTTGAAAATAATCTTATCAGCAAATTCCACTGCTTTGTTTTCTTGGTGGTCTTGCTAAGTAGGTGTTAGGTAAATTTAATGTTGGTATCAGTATTTGCAGTGCACTCGGCAGTCTGACATATCTGCTACAGATAATTCTGCTGAAAATTACTTCATTCTCTTAGTTTTGGTTTGATTTTGTGGGCTAGTGCATCTTGTAATGTATTATGATTAAGTAATTTATGGTCATATAAAAACAGCTTATTGAATTAACATTGTTTTCCATTGTATTTTTAATGTCTCATGCTGGCACATACATATTCCTTAACTTTCCTGTCAGTCATGTTTATAACTACTGTACTAGTGTACACCAGTCTAATCAAGCACGGGGAGCTGGAGTACCTCCTTCTAAATCAAAAAAGGGCCAGACACCTGGAGGTGCTCAGTTTGTTGGCTTGGAATTGTACAAACGGCTAAAAGAATTTCTGAAGAACTACTTGACAAATCTCTTGAAGGTAAGATGGGACATTAGATCAATCTGCATTTGTATTAGTAATATGGGCTGGGTTGAGAAAAGCTTGTATTAACAAACCTAGAGGTGTATACAGCCACTGGAAGTAAATTGAATGATCTTGAAATTCGCTTTTGTCTCCATTAGCCGTTAGAAACTTTTGTAGGCTTTACTTCAGGCATAGATCAGTCGCTAAGTTTACCTGTTAGCTGCTTTTCCTCTTCAAGCCAAAGCGGCATTTCTGTGTTTTATAGAAGTAACATTTATATGCCATCTTAAGCTGTCCTTTATCTTGGAACAAGAATGGCTAGACTTTCTAACCAATTAAGCAGCATATTAGTAATGCTGCAAAAATGGTTGCCTGAAATGTTGAAAATGCCTGATGGTAGCCATTAATTTAATTTAATGAATAAACTACTAATAGAGCAGGATGTTGGACTGCTTTGTAAGAGAATGGTTCCTAGTTATTTTTAGAAAGGATCTATGCTTTTAACTTTTGGGATTTTAGTTTTGAGCAATAATAAAAGAATTCTTGGTGTCCTATCAAGTCTACTATGAAATTAATTTATGAAGCTGCATAAAGGTGTCTGAGGTCTTATCCAGAATGCACTCCTGTTTTTATTCCCTTCTCCATTCAAGCTCTAGTGGTCCAGTTTGGAAAGATACTTGAACTTCCATGTGTTACAACTTTATCTTTTTTTCTTCTGTAACAAAAACAAATATGATGCCATACCCATTTCCAAGAATATGGGGTTCCATTTACTACCTGACAGGGTCCTAGAGAAGACCGCATCCACACTCACTCGTTTCAGCTCCCCAAGTAGCAGCAGTGGGAGTGGGTGGTGTATTTTATGGAGATTGTCACGTTGAATGCGTTACCATTGCACTGGCATGTTTTACCCAGCACACATCAGTGTCGCTATCTGTTTCTAACATGGTGCCATCTTGCTCTCTCTCACAGGAGGGATGGGAGTGTCTTCTGGAGCTTTGTCTATGCTGTGCATTTTTTTAACCAGTGTTCTAATTTCTAAATCTCATACTGGCCTTGTGCTTTATTAATGTAGAAGTACCTGTATTAGCACTATGTTTCCTATAAATACATTGCATGGTGTAGATGTATTACACAGTCAATTTGTACACCCTCATATATCTTGGTTGTACCTTAAAATTACCCAAAAGTACTGGCAAACTTTTGTTATTTCAGGATGGTGAAGATTTAATGGATGAGAGCGTGCTGAAATTCTACACTCAACAGTGGGAAGATTATAGGTTTTCAAGCAAAGTATTGAATGGGATATGTGCCTACCTCAATCGACATTGGGTTCGTCGTGAGTGCGATGAAGGTCGTAAAGGAATATATGAAATTTATTCGGTAAGTAGCTTTTTGAAGTGAGTGACTTATCCATTCCATCTGTCATGTTTGCATTATCATCCTGCAGATCGCTCCTTGAAACTTGTATGAAGTTCATAGAAGTTTTGAAGAAGTGGACAAAGTGGAAATCTCCCCCCTTCCCGTACTCCCACCCCAGTATATCTGTAAAAATTCCCTGGGTCTAAACCTGTGAGGTGTTCAATCTGCCTTGTACGTATTGGGACTACCAGTATTAGACTGTTGAGGGTTGTCTGTTTCTGACTATTTGCTGCTTATACCGTTATCTGTGTGCATCAGCGTGACCTTGTCATTCCACTTAGACTTCAGTCATTTCAAATATAGAATGGAGAAGTAAATTGCATTTTTTTTCTCTTGACTTCAATACATCTCTACAAATTTTTTAGCATCCAAGCTGCTAAGATTCAGTCAACATTTGGTTTGTAATATAAGTTATTTTGGTACAGTTCTGAAATACTGATATGTGATCTTGATAAATTTTTTGTAATGTAAAGTAATATAAACAAGGGAAGAACATAGCAGAAGTTCTGTATCTCAGATAACTAAAGTATGGGTTTTTTTTATAAAGGATAAAGCAGGTGAAGCATTAGGAAAGTAATGTGTTATTTTACTGCTTCACTAAAATAACTTTGCATATGGTAGAAAAACAGTTGGTATCCTTACTTCCTTCCCTCTTAACTTCACTAGCCTAATGCTAAGGGACTGTGTCAGCCTGAAAATTGCCAACAAAAAAAGCTGTATGTCGTCAAAGTAACTTGCAGGGTTTTGTTAGTTTTCAGAGTTGGCAGTGGATCACTGTCAGAAAACGGGACATCTCAGGGAGAGTTAGTAATAAAGCAAATGGTAATTTTATTGTGAAACAGTCTTGTTGCATGAGAAATGTGTATGCCAAAATATAATAATTTAAAAAGTTCTGATTATTTAGCATACTACATCAGCTTTCCTTAAGAAGTTATCCTGCATGTATATGTGTATATATATAAATATTTTCTTTATTCCATCTTTCATCTGCCTTCCTTTGCTTCTAGCTTGCCTTGGTGACCTGGAGAGACTGCTTATTCAGGCCATTAAATAAGCAGGTATATATATATATAACTATAGTGTTATTTTATAGGGTTAATTTTATATATTGTCAGTAACTGTTTCAAGGAGAATTTGGAGGATGGAGTGGGGGCAGACCCAGAAAATAAAAGACCCTTCTGCTTCTCTTTTGTGATGTTAAAAAGATAAATATTTGGGGGGAATGGGCCTTTCTCTGTTTGTGTGGTTGAACCTTGATACCAAGACTGTTCTGTTATCTCTTTGCTGAGAGGACCCTTGCCTTTTGTAAAAAAAAAAAAAAAAAAAAAAAAAAAATTAAAAAAAAAAAAAATTAAGGGCACTTGTCTTAAACGAAGTAACAACTTCAGCTGTTTCCAAGCCAGGCAGGAGTACAGGCTGATGGTCATGTCTTAAGGTTTGAGAGTCAAGATTGTGTGAGAACAGATAGTGACAGGCCTGGGATTTTGGTGTCTTCTAATGTTACTATGAATCTTTAAATTTGCACTGATCCCTGGGAGATTCAGGTCAACCAAATATTTTTAATTAGTGAATCAGCACCACAGAAAACAAGACATTCCATCACAATGAAATATTATATTTATGTATGTTGATTTCACCCTTATTTACCAGTACTTCATGATGAACAGACTATTATGAAAATGTTCACTAGATTTCAGTTTAGAGGAACAGTAGTTGCAACACATTATTTATCAGCATAAGCCAGTAGCTTTCTTTGTGTAAAATACAGGTGGTTAGTTCAGCTTTTACTGCAAAGTTTTCTTATATTTCAGGTATAAAACAAAGAGAAGTTTGGTTTAGAAGATGCTTTTTGAAATTTAAAAAAAAAAAACAAAAAAACCAAACCAAGCACTTTCATACCCTTTTACAGCTCACCACTAATCGGACTGTAATTACAGTGTAGAACTTAAAGGTGTAGCATACTCTGTGATGTCTGTAGGAATTTTGTATGTTCAGGTGTCCTTAAATTTTGTTCTCAAGGGGCTTGACTTGTCTTGAATATAGGAATACACTCCTGATTAAATACTGTGCTTTCTCTGTGCTTGACTTACATTTAATCCCTGTTTTCTAAGGTAACAAATGCTGTGTTGAAATTGATTGAAAAGGAAAGAAATGGTGAAACTATCAATACAAGGCTGATCAGTGGAGTTGTACAATCTTATGGTAAATGAGATTTCTTTAAGGTTTTATTACTCTCTTAAAAATAAATAAATATATATCCCCTATCAGAGCCCAGAAGTAGCATCCCACCTCCTTGGATGTCCAGTAAAGATTTTTACAGTAAAATAAATGCAGTTATATATTGTTTAACTTCATGTTTGTAGAGACACTTGATGCAATTACAGTTGATTATACCATATTTGTAAAGCTTGAAAGTGCAACTGATAGACAAGAGAGTTCATTGTTTACAAATCAGTTATGTAGGAGCTAAATCTGGATTGGGGGAAGCATAGTAGTTTACAAAGTGGAGTGGGATTGTTTTTTTTCCAGTTTGCATGAAACTGAGTGTTTTGTCATGCAGATTAATGACCAGTTTCATTAATAAAAATCATATATGCATATAATTTGGAACTCTAAGAGGAAAAAATGGAAGGGGAATTTGAACTAGCTTTTGAGATAGTGAAGTTTTCTAAACCCTATCATCCATTTTGTAATGTATCAAAAAGTGCAGTTTACATGAGTAATGTCTTGTGCTGCTTATTTTTTAAATGCAAAATAAATGTATACTTCTAAAAGTTTTAAAAAGTTGTGCTGATACTGTCCCAATTGATTACTTTCATGTAAGTTAGAAAGGAGGGACCTGTTTATTTGCAAGAGACTACTTCATAAAAGACGATTTTGTCATTACTTGCTCTTTTTTTCTTTTTTGTAGTGGAGCTGGGGCTGAATGAAGATGATGCATTTGCAAAAGGACCTACACTAACTGTCTATAAAGAATCCTTTGAGTCTCAGTTTCTTGCTGACACAGAGAGATTTTATACACGAGAAAGTACTGAATTCTTGCAACAGAACCCAGTCACAGAATACATGAAGAAGGTAAGTTATTAAATGAGCTTTGTGATTATTTTCTGGATACAGATATTTTTTAGAGGTAAAGTAATACAAATTCTTGGCTTTTGTTATCAGTTTCTTAAAATGCTGATTATTTTACAGAAACAATTAGCTCTTTTTCCCTGTGGTGATTTGCTTTTATGTTTATCTGGTCTGAAGTTTGTCTCCTTAGTGTATTTCAGTAAGTACAATGAAAGTTCGAAGCTTTCTTAATGGGCAAAATGGAAGAGAATGTTAAAATAAATTGAGATTCTGTTAGACTTCAAGACACCAAAATAGTCATTCTGCTTTAGACCTACAAGTTTACTGTTCCTATACAAGGAACTGTGTGTTGGCACATTTATTAAAATCTCTTCCTGAGCGAGCTCACCAAGGTAGTAGATAAACAATTAGCTTTAATTCTCTCAGAATATTTTGATGTCATGAACTCTACACAATACTTCTGATCAACAGAGGCCAGATTTAGATTCTTAGATAGCCTCTGGTTTGGGGGATCCCAGAAACGGCAATTAAGGGCAAGCTGGATAAACATTGACTATTTCTAGCCTGGTTATTGGGTCAGTCTTACTGAATGTGAAATAGATAGGTCATCTTCCATCTTGGACAGGTGCTGCTTTATATATTTTTCTCGGCATGTTTCCTCACTTCCTGAATTGCTGCTTGATTTTTCCCTTTCAGTTTAATTTAAAAAAAGAGAGCTTTTTGAGTATGTAATATACAGATACACATCCCTCCCTGCAGTGTCTTTGTGTTTCTTTTGTGTAACTCTTGCCACAGAACACTCCTGTCGGAGTCTTGGCATTAAAGTCAATGTTTTACCCCTAAAAAAAGGGGGAAGTCCTAGAAATAATACAGTAAAACGAATCCTGCTTTTAGTGCATTGGGATAGTTGCCCAGTAGTTCCCAGACCTACTTATGTTTACTTTTCTGTTGTTGTTGAATTAATGATTTCTGCTACTTCCCTTTCAATTCTTGTCTTTATTTTCATCCTAAAATACATAAAAACAGAGTATGGGAATTTCAGTCATTCATAACCTGAATGACTGGCTCATCCAGGCTTCCTTGGTATGGGACAGTAAAAAGCTGTCTGAAAGTCATTGCTATTTCAAGAACTAGAGATTAGTCGCAAGTAGAAAGAACTTATCAGACCTCAACAATCTTCAAAACTTCAAAAATCCACAAAAGAGCAACTCGCTTTGCTCGAAGCTGGTGTCGAAGCTGAAAACACATACAAAGCTAGCAGAAGGCAGGGGAAATCTTCAGCAAGAAAGTGTGTAGCCTTAAGTCTCTGCTCAAATTCATATACTAGAGATGTATACAAGCTATTTGGGCTGTTTGGCATCTCCTTACAGATAATGTGCATACATTGAAATCAAACTGAACAAGAAACTGTTTTCATTACTCATTTCCTGGGATTTAACTGATGAAACTGAAAAAGATGTATATTAGCCTCTACAGTAAATATGATCAGAGCTTGCACAATGATACAAACTAAGGGATGTGACCTAACGGAAAGGGGAAACGTGAATTGAAGCTAGAAGCTAGTTCTCTGGAACAAATTGTCTGATCTCTCTAGTCTGCATGCTCTGCTGGAGAGATCAAGAGAGGTCGTGCAAGTTTTCAGAACTATTAATTTAAAATTCAGATAGGTTTGTCCTTCAGTTTTATCTTACTTCATTATGCATAAGGAATGCTTAATATTTTTTTACTTAAACATGACAAGGCAGTTTTGTAAACTTCTTAATTATTTTTTTCGGTTTGGGTATTGTAATCTTGCATGCCACTTAAATGCCTGGAACAGAGTAGTACTCCCCATAATTATTACTCAGGTATTGCTAGAATTAGGGTTCTTTCCTGTTATGAAACACCTTAAATGAGACTGATGTGAAAAGCTGCAAGTTGTCCAGCAGTCACACAGCATACTAGTGGTAAGAAGATCTTAAAAGTAATCTGTTGGAAGTGTGAACTATGAACAAAGATATCTGCTATTAGTACACTTACTTCACTTTCTCACTGAAGCACTGTGCATTGAGTTCTAATTGGGGATAAATAGCACTGCAAAATAAAAACAAAAGGAAACCTGTTGGAGTACCTTAGTGCACACCAGCATAACATCAGTGTTACCATGATACAGTAGAGTTCTGGTTGTTTCTTGTAGAAATCTTAATTAGAATTAGGATATGAGTATGTAGTTATAGAGGCAGACTTACTGAGTTTAGAAGGATTGTGAATTTTTCTTCTCAGGCCAGAACTCATGAGTAAAGCTGGCATGGCCTGATGTGCTGTAGTAAGGTCAGTATATCTCAAGACTGTTCCTTGAAATAGTCTCAGACTGAACTTTTGATCTTTATAGTTAAAACAGCCAAAGATACTGTTGTGTGAACTAATTATTTTTCCCTTGTTTCTGAAATGTGACTTTAAAAAGAAAACAGAATTATAAGAACACAAAAAGTGAGAGAGTATAAGCAAATTTGAAGTCAGAGTGAATGTTTATTTTCATAAAGGAGCTCAAAGTGAGAGTTGACTGTTAACTGTAAAAGTGAAGGCCTAAGGATATTTTAAGAAGCAGCATTAGAAGTGGCAGAATTTCCTGAACTTCAGAAATACAGAACTGGTTAAACGTAAGATAAGTAGTCCTACTAGTCTGATTCCAGTTTCCAGTGTTCATCAGAAAGATTTGCTGCTATTTGCTGTCATTAAGGAAGTCAATTGTTACTCCTTACTGGTAAGAAACTGGCAAGTACTCTGAAGCATGAACTTATATCCCTTCCCAAACTAT